TAAAAGTAGAATGGGAGGCAGATCTTTTAGTTATCAGGCTCCTCTCCTGTGGAACCAACTACCAGTTTTAGTCCGTGAGGCAGACACTCTGTCTACTTTTAAGACTAGGCTGAAAACTTTCCTTTTTTATAAAGCTTATAGTTAGGGTGGCTCAGGTTATCCTGAGCTCTCTCTCTATAGTTATGCTGCTATAGGCTTAGACTTTTGGAGGACATAGGGACCCCCATTTCATCATTCTGCTTCATTCTCTCTCTGTTCTCCTATTCTGTAGAATCTGTTTGTTCAATCTCTAACCTTCTGCTCTCTCTGCTTTTCCTCAGAGTAGCTTTGCCTCGTCTGTTCCTGTTTGGCTGTGACGTCATCCAGGAAAGAAACATCAGCTGTGCTGCTTCCATCAACACCCTTGTTTGTAGATGTTGGAGATCGGACTGTCTTCCAGTGTGGTCCTGTTTCACTGGCCGTGGCTGGGTGGATGTGCTCTCTTCATCCTCTGGCATGGGAGCTGCCTTGGAGCTCGTCTGCCTGGCTGTGTGTTTCCTGGACGGGGCCGCCTTTTACAGCTGCTTTTTGTATCTCTGCTTCTGTCTCCTTGAACCCCAGTCGGCCTCAGCAGATGGCCGCTCACACTGAGCCTGGTTCTGCTGGAGGTTTCTTCCTGTTAAAAGGGAGTTTTTCCTCTCCACTGTCGCTACAAGCATGCTTAGTGTGAGGGATTGTATTTGAGTCAATGAGTCAATGCAATCAACTGGTTTTCCTTAGATAGAAAACTTTGAATCAATTTGACTGTATGATCTGGTTGAACTGCAAAGTGCCTTGAGATGACATGTGTTGTGAATTTGGCGCTATATAAATAAACTGAATTGAATTGAATTGAATTGAATTAATTATATTAATTAGACTTCCTGTTTGGGCCTGTTCACTTCCTGTTTGGATTAACTGAGTGTTGTAGCTGTCCAGACGATCTCCATCTGAAGTTAAGTTATTTTTTCTTTTCTTTTCTTTTTCTTTTTTTTTATATCTCTGTATCTAAGTAACTCTAACTGACCACAACTACTTTAAAACATAGCGTCTTCTGCTGCACTTTTCTACTGAGCACTTGTCAGTTTCACACGGTTTTATTTCCTGTAGTAAGGAGTAGCTAGCCTAGGCTACCACTAACTTAGCCTTGCTATGGCTTCTCTCTCTCCCTCCCTTGACTCTTTTCCAACTCTTCCTTCTTCCTCTCCTCTCTCCTGCTCTCTGTGTCAGATGTTCAGTTATTCCTCTGCCTCCTTTATGTTGGGATCTGGAGATGTACCACCTTTCTCCAGCAGAGTGCGCTGTGGGTCTCCTGGGCTGGAGCCCTCCAGCAAACCTGACGCTCATCAACCCATCAGGAGACCTACCTACATAAGCAGCAACCAGACCTTCCTTCGACGCCGCAGTGTTGACCTAGTTTGGTTAGCGAACCTGAGCCTCTGTTACCTGAAAGAATCTTAGTTGTCTCTTGAGTGAAACCTAATTCTAATCTGCCTCTGTCTTTTGCTCACAGGAAACCTGTCTCAAGTCTGAAGCTCTGGATGAGCTTTAACCTGCCTGCCAGCCCTAGTGAGCCAAACCTGAAAGATTTCAATCTGGATTCCTCCTGCTGCTCTCAGAGAAGAGCTGGAATCTCTGATCAAGGTCTGCCATTCATTAATCAGAAGTTAGACGCTGCTGCTGAGCACTCTGCTGAACCAACAGTCTCTGGACCCAACCGGTTCCCTCTCTCACAAGAAAGCTTGGACCTCTTCAAGGTAGAATCTGAAATATCTAAGACTCAATTAATTATCTGACTGCCTGGCTAATCAAACTGTCCGTCTCTGCAGACATCAGTGAACCCAGCCCGGACCAGTACCTGAACCAGTTCATGTCTTTGTGTGAAAACCTTTTCAATAAACTCTGTTAAACTTTTACTCAGCCTCCGTTTGTGTTCTGCATGTGGGTTTAGCCTTAAACCAATCATGACACTTGATAATGATGACACAATGATAATGGTATGTGTAATAAGTGTAGTATTTTTGTAGCTTTGGGGGCGAGGGTGTCAGAGTTAGAGTCCAGGCTTCAGACTGTTGAACATCCAGGAGTTAAAGTAGGCCCCCCATGTAGCTGTCCTCCAAAAGTGCCTGAGCAGCCAGGCGATTGGATAACTGTACGCAGAAAGCGTAGTCGTGGATCTCACGACCAAAATCTAATAGATTAGCAAATATTCCCAAAGGAGTAAATCATGATAATCTAATTAAAATTAAAATAACTCCAATTGGGGAAAAAGTTAAAACGATTAAATGTGGTCTGTTTAACATAAGATCTCTTTCCTCTAAAAGTCTGCTAGTTAATGACTTGATTTAGTCCTTTCCAGGATCCAGTGAACAAGCCAGATGTTGAATCCCAGGACATGCTACTTTGCCAGGGACCTTGTCATGTTCTTAGGCCACGTAGTGTCCAGGGATTGTCTCAGGTCTGATCCGCTGAACATGGACAAGGTGAGAAAAATGGCCAACTCCAAGCATCCCTTCAAGAGTTCAGTGCCTTCTTGGCCTACACTCCTATTGTTGGAGATTTGTGTGTTAATTCTCCCAACACTCTGCAGCACTAAACCAGCTGGCAGGGAAGAATGTACCCTTTGAGTGGTCACTTGAGTGTGAGGTGGTTCATCTACCTCAAGCAAGTACTCATATCCTCTCCGGTGGTGATGCTGCCCAACTTTCCACTCAATTTCAAGGTGTACAATGGCATCTCTAAAGACTGTTGGGGCAGTGCTGGCGCAGGAGGTAGAAAGCTGTGAAAGCGAGGTTCTCTCTCACACAGACACACACAGAGAAGAGATTTTGCACCTTCAACAGAGGGTTATTGGCCTTGGTGCCAGCAGTGTGTGAGTTCAGTGCATTCTCCATCATCATGGACAATCGCCCTCTGCTGGGCCTCAAGCACATGGCTATGTATAATGATCCAACTGGACAAAGGTGTAGGTGGGTGCTTGAGTTTGATCTGTTTGACTGGGTCATGGTGCACAGGAATGGCTCATGCCACATAACTCTTGATGCTCTGTCCCCCTGCACAGGTCCCCTAACACTTTCAAGCCAGATGCTCCCGCTGTAGGCTGTATGTGTTGAGGGGCTGCACAGTACTCCCTGAGCCCACGGAATGGAAGGACAGTGCAGATAGAACAGTCCTGTTACTGGCCCTTCATGTTGAGAGAAATAAGGCAGTGGTGTGAACAATGTAGGGTCTTACAGACTCACAGGAGCCCAGCTCCACTTTAGTTTTGTTTCTCATTTAATAAACGTTTTGAAATTTCCTACTGACTGTCTCTCCTTGAATACTGGGTCCATCTGTCCAGTTTCATGACAGTTCCTGCCACCCCTGCTGCTTGGAGTCTTCGCTCCCCTAGAACAGATATCAGCCTCGGATTGGTGAAATGCGCTACGGACGTGGGAACTTGCCAGAAATACCTACATGTTTGATGGTATTGTTGACAATTTACCACTGTCTAGAAGGTTTACTTTCCAGGTAATGTGATGTCTATGTTGATATATAATTTGTCTAGATGTTAGAGAATAGGAAGTAGTGGAGGTATTTTCTTTCCCTGTTTTTCACAGATACAGTTTTTCTGTGTCCCAAGTTCTTTTCACGTGAAATATGGTTGCTTCTTGTTGAGGACGGAACATGTGTAACAGACTGTTCTGTGTATGGAAAAGAAGGTGTTTCCCTTTCAGTTGCCAGACAGCGGCAGTTTAATTGAGTTCACGGCAGGGGGAGCATGTGAGTTTTTTTGCTGTTGACAAAAAAAAAGGAAAATAAATGGTGAAGTGGGTTTACTGCTTAACATGCTGTCCCGTCTCCTACATCTTGGTACTGGTTACTGGCTTAAATATTCATTTCCTTCACTTGTCTAACTTTCCCCGGTTTCTTATCAATGTTAATCTGAGACACCTGCTCCTGGCTCCATTTATGCATCCAGTCATCTGAGCCAGATTATTCCTCTCCAGGGGCATGTTTTTAACATATCTTAGTGCTTCTGATTCCCTGGTCTGCCTCTTAACCACTGAGCCTGCCTATTCCTGTTCTGATCTTTTTTCCTGACCTGGCTTCGGATTCCTGGACATCTGAGCCTATCTGTTCCTGTTTTGATCTGTTTGTCTGATGTGTCTCCGGACTCCTGCTTGTTCTGTGGGTCTGCGGCATCTGGGACACTCTGGGCAGCGCCCACCACATCATGTTGGCAGCCCAGCAGCTGAATCCCATATCCTACCTTGTTCTCTGGGAATGGACTGAACTTGTAAACCAGGTTAGTGACTCACATCCATAAGCTTCCTCTGTTGGATTTACATGGTCACTAACCTGTGTTTCCTCTCTTCAGAGTTAGCTTGAATACTGGGTCATCTGTACCGAGCCTTGACAGCTTGTTGTTTTCTAAATATACATATAATGTATTTGCACAGTATTGAGGAAACCAGAATGCTCCGCTATACACATATGTATATGTGTAGAGAAAGAGAGAGAGAGTTATTATAGACGGACTATGTAGGTATTCTTTTCCATTTTTAATGGTTTTGTGCTGAGAGCTCTACAGGAGAAGGAATGACAAGTTGGATGTAGTGACTGTCTTAAAACGTCGCCTCAATCAGTCTCTCTGAGTGGGCCTCTCAATGCTCCAAAATAACCTTCCACCCAAAACCAAAAGCCTCTGACTCTCTAATTGTGTTTGGTCTTAATGCACCATAAAAATCAGTACACAAAGGTACCCACTATTGCTGAAACTAAAAAAAGAATAACAAAAACAAAGTATAAAGCAGACTATTTATTCTCACATGTTGATGCAAAACCATCACAAATAGACCAGTCACTGGTAGAAAATCTGACAGACAAAAGCCTGTTTTATGTTTGAGCTTCGCATGCATCCAATTTAATAATATTAGCACCCACACCTGTTGGTGCTGGGTCTACCTAAGCACTTGACCTAGAAGAAATTGGGATTACGCACATAACTCTAAGTGGAAAACCATGGTGTTGAGTGAAATCTCCACTTTGGCCACCTCATAAAAACATCTTATGAGGTTGACCTTAAATAATAATCATGATCAACATGGTTAAAAAGTCTTCCATAGCATGAAGAGGCTTTGAACATTTTTGAGATATTTTTGTTGTTTACTTTTACATTTGTAAAAGTACAATCAATACTCTTACAGGTCTGTGCCCTGCACTGACCCCAAAAGTGGGTCCAAGGGGAAAAGCAGCATGGAGTAAAAAAGCTATTGACACTGTGTTCCATACATTTCATTTCAACATACGAGCATCAAATATAAGCCACCCTTAATGCTGCACAAAGTTTGGGGTCAAATGAGACCAGCAGCAGGTGGTTTCTGTGGTTTCAATAAGATGAACACAACATGCTCTATGTAGGCTATGTGTTTAAACTCACCCTGAACAAAATAGGTTACATGACAAGCTGAACTCTAAATGCATATTATTTATTAGAGCATCTATATAGAAATGCAAACATAACAACCTTTTATATTCTAAAAGTTCTGCAGTAAACGTTTTAGGTTTAACAACAGCTTTTATCAATTGACAGGAAATATGAAAACCACTGAGGATATAGAACAGTATAACCACAGGCTGCTAACATACAACATCACATTTCATTAACGGAAAGGTATAAAAAGAATATAATGAAAAAAACTAAGCTTATTTCTGTTAAAAGTTTGAAAGGTTTCCATATATTTATAATCTCTGATCTCTAATTTCTTATCCATTGAGACAAAGTGGATCTTTGATGAGTTCAGTAAAACTAAATAAATGCAGACATCTCTAAATATAATAATGAAGATGTGATTCTCTGGTGTAAATAAGTCAGATCATCCAATCCTTATCCTGAGAGGAAGAGGACAAAAAGAGAAGAAGAGGAAGAGGTCATATCCACTCAGATTGGCACGTCTTCTCCTGCAGATTACAATTAAAAACGTTTAGGTTAGTTATAGCCTTGTAAATGCTGTAAGCTATCAGTGTATTTACTATTTAGGGAATGAAGAGGTTACCTGTGTTTTTTTGTTGATATAAAGATATCATCAGTAGAGTGGAGATCAGGTAGGGACAAAACACAACCAGGTGAACGAAAATACGAATATTTGAGGTAGCTGAAGAATTAATCGGGTCTGGAGTGGTTGTACGAGCTGTTGAGATGGGCAGAGTTATAAATGTTGGTGGAGCTGGGGTTAATTTACATGTAAAGAGAATTTAACATGACAGGTGGTTTTGTTATCAGTGTTGAAAAAACCTTGAACATAGAACCAGCTGGATGGAGAGTCTCCATGACCCCTGATGTTACACCTGTAGAGGCCTTCATCAGAGCTGGTCACATGACGGAGGGTCTTGCGACCTGAAGGTTCATTGCCAATAAAAGCATCATCTCTAAAGAAAGCAGCTGGGAGGTTGGAGGGAGTGGTCTTTGTTAGACAGCTCAGAGTGACGTTATCCCCCTCCATCACAGGGAGGACAGGACTCTGCAGGATCACTGATCCACCTCAACACAGAGACAAACTACAGCATTTCATCCATTTCCACACAGCTTCATCAACACTAACTCCACAGTCTGATCTTACCAGTGACAGTGAGCTGGATGCTGCTGCTGGCTGCTCCCTCTCTGGACGAACACCAGTAAACTCCACTGTCCTCTGGGACGATGTAATTCATCTTACAGGTAGAACCAGCTGGTTCCCCCTATCCATCTTCACATCGAGTCTCGGTTCCTCTGGTTGTGTTCCTCCATACAGTCCATCCAGCAGAGCTGCTGTTCTCCTCACAGCTCAGAGACAAAGAGTCTTCGTCAAAGAACTGAGAGCTGCTGGGAGTCACAGTCAGAGCAGCTGCTGGAGTGAAAAAAACATTTTAGCAAACTTATCAGATCCAAAATTGGGAAAGAAACATCATCAAGTGTTAGAGGAACCAATCACAGTACAAATTTACAAAGTACTTCAATGTTATATTAACAATAAGTGCTTCATCTGAATATTAAGGTGTCAAACAGGAAGTGAACCAACCTTGGTTTGTTGTGCAGCTCAGCACTGAGGTCAGAACTAAAAAGGAAAAAAAAATCCTTTTGAACTAAAAACTTTGTTTCTCGCATAAAACCAGTTTTACACCTCCGATAGTTTCCATTTAGACCATTACTGTAAATGTTGATCCAGCAGGTAGTAAATAGCTCTATGTCCCAAAGTTCTATTAATATTTTCTATGTTTCATCTGTTCTCTTCAGATTCCAGAAGAAATTCTCCTCAGTGTGTTTTAACCCAGTTCCAGGCTGTTTCCCAGCCTCTCCTCCATCATCAGTTATCTACAGAAACCCAGGAAATGTTCAGAAAGAATCTCTACTTACTGAGCAGAAATCTGACAGATGTTTCCTTCATTGTGTCTCTCAGAGCTCTGACAGAGATGTTCAGAGGCTGAGAGTAAAACCTTCCTCTGTGGTTGAGGGGCTGCAGGAACAGGAAGTAAAATGTAGAGATGTGAAAGCACACCTACATGGTGCTAGCTGTAGATTCGTGGAATCGCATCACTTCCTGTTGTGATGTGCTGTGCAAAGGTTTGCACGAACATTTTCTCTGTATTTGATATATTGTCAAATGCAGAGGGATGGCAGGCCTGCCCCACATAACAACTGCAAACGTGCAGACTGGTTTATGACATACAATGTGGGAAATAAGTATTTGAACTCCCTGCTTTTTAGCAAGTTTTTAGCAAGGAGATTGTTCCCCAAAAATCTTGCATTACTGTACATGGGCCCGGTCAACCTCTCCTTAATACAGTGCAGTCGCCTTGTATCATGTGGAGAAAAGCAACCCCAAAGCATGAAGCTACCACTCTCATGGTTCACAGTAGGGATGGTGTTCTTGGGATAGTACCCATGATTCTTCTTCTTCCAAAAACGGTTTCTCGAAATATGACCAAAAAGTTCTATTTAGTCTCATCTGACTACATGACTTTCTCCCATGACTCCTCTGGATCATCTAAATGTTCATTGAAAAACTTAAGATGGGCCTTAACATGTGCTGGTTTAAGCAGGGGAACCTTCCGAGCCATGCATGATTTCAAATTATGGCTTCTTAGTGTATTGCAGTAACATAAGTAATATATACAGTGGGGCAAAAAAGTATTTAGTCAGCCACCAATAGTGCAAGTTCTCCCACTTAAAAAGATGAGAGAGGTCGGTAATTTTCATCATAGATATACCTCAACTATGAGAGACAAAATGAGAAAAAAAAATCCAGAAAATCACATTGTCTGATTTTTAAATAATTTATTTGCAAAATATGGTGGAAAATAAGTATTTGGTCAATAACAAAAGTTAATCTCAATATTTTGTTATATACCCTTTGTTGGCAATGACAGAGATCAAACGTTTTCTGTAAGTCTTCACAAGGTTTTCACACACTGTTGCTGGTATTTTGGCCCATTCCTCCATGCAGATCTCCTCTAGAGCAGTGATGTTCTGGGGCTGTCGCTGGGCAACACAGACTTTCAACTCCCTCCAAAGATTTTCTATGGGGTTGAGATCTGGAGACTGGCTAGGCCACTCCAGGACCTTGAAATGCTTCTTACGAAGCATTGTCATGCTGAAAGACCCAGCCACGTTTCATCTTCAATGCCCTTGCTGATGGAAGGAGGTTTTCACTCAAAATGTGACGATACATGGCCCCATTCATTCTTTCCTTCACACGGATCAGTCGTCCTGGTCCCTTAGCAGAGAAATAGCCCCAAAGCATGATGTTTCCACCCCCATGCTTCACTGTAGGTATGGTGTTCTTTGGATGCAACTCAGCATTCTCTCTCCTCCAAACACGACGAGTAGAGTTTTTACCAAAAAGTTCTATTTTGGTTTCATCTGACCATATGATATTCTGCCAGTCATCGTCTGGATCATCCAAATGCTCTCTAGCAAACTTGAGACGGGCCTTGACATGTACTGGCTTAAGCAGGGGGACACGTCTGGCACTGCAGGATTTGAGTCCCTGGCGGCGTAGTGTGTTACTGATGGTAGCCTTTGTTACTTTGGTCCCAGCTCTCTGCAGGTCATTCACTAGGTCCCCCCGTGTGGTTCTGGGATTTTTACTCACCGTTCTTGTGATCATTTTGACCCCACGGGGTGAGATCTTGCGTGGAGCCCCAGATGGAGGAAGATTATCAGTGGTCTTGTATGTTTTCCATTTTCTAATAAATGATCCCACAGTTGATTTCTTCACACCAAGCTGTTTACCTATTGCAGATTCAGACTTCCCAGCCTGGTGCAGGTCTATCATTTTGTTTCGGGTGTCCTTTGACAGCTCTCTAGTTTTGGCCATGGTGGAGTTTAGAGTGTGACTGTTTGAGGTTGTGGACAGGTGTCTTTTATACCGATAACGGGTTCAAACAGGTGCCATTAATGAAGGTAACGAGTGGAGGACAGAGGAGCCTCTTACAGAAGAAGTTACAGGTCTGTGAGAGCCAGAAATCTTGCATGTTTGTTATTGACCAAATACTTATTTTCCACCATATTTTGCAAATAAATTCTTTAAAAATCAGACAATGTGATTTTCTGGATTTTCTTTCTCATTTTGTCTCTCATAGTTGAGGTATATCTATGATGAAAATTACCGGCCTCTCTCATCTTTTTAAGTGGGAGAACTTGCACTATTGGTGGCTGACTAAATACTTTTTTGCCCCACTGTATACACACACACACACACACATCAGCAGTGCTGTGTCCGGCTCCCAGATCAGCTTCTGTGATTGGTTGATGTGGCTCGATGAGAAAAGTTCAATTTTTTCAACTGCAGCATCTGTGGCTGTGAAGCATGTTATGTGCCTCAGATGCTCAGAAGCTCATGAGGCACTGCTTCAGCTACACAGATATGTCAAGATGCACTGCTCCTGTTGCTCTAGAAGTAGCATATCTCTGGCAGTCTATGGGTGAGAGGTGGGGCAGAGCCTGGACAGGTCACCAGTCTGTCACACAACAACATACAGACATTCACTCGCTCACACCTAAGGACAATTTAGAGAAGCCAATTTACCTAACAGTCATGTTTTTTGTGACTGTGGGAGGAAGCCAGAGTACCCGGAGAGAACCTATGTTGTTCAATAGCTGTTAAAGGCTTCGAACTCTGGTGAGATCATGACTGGCTCTTTAAAGCCCGGGTCCCTCCAATTGTTGAAAAGAGATTACCAAATTACCAAAAGAGACTACCAAATCCCTCCCTGATGTGATGTACTAAACTCGCATAAAGTTACCTCTAGGGAACCAAAACCCTGTAATTTACTGGATTCGGACCCAAGATTCAACCACGACAGATCAGTGACATTTAAAGTATTTATTGAAAATGAAGCAGGCCGGTTATCTCTTGATAACTGGCCGGAACAATCTAGAGGCAGAGGGACAGGTTAGAGGCTGCAGTGGCAGGTTAGAACTCAGGAGTTGACGAAGGACTAATCTGGTAACAAGAGGAGCCAGAGCGCTGAGTGTAAGTCAGAGACAGGCAGGAGGCTTCGGGGAGAGAGACGTCCACTTGTTTGTGGGGGCAGACCGTTGAGCGGTCGACAACTGTGCGGGCTTTTTAGGGGCTTTAGTCCAGAGACAGTCCAGGTTCGGTTACGGGGTCCAATAAAGCAGCAGAGGTACAAGAGGGTGTAATAGAGGAAATTTTTCCGATTCCAGTTCCGGGTCCAATCATCTGATAAACACAGAGAGTAAAGGGGGCAGCAGGCCTAGGTACTCAAAGGCAGAAAAAGGCTTCAGTAGCACAGGTGGTCAATCCGGGATCCAGTATCAGGACTCAGACAGGCAGACAAATCCAGAGAGGAATCAGACAGACTCAGAATCAAGGGGACAAAGACAGGTCCGTAGGCAGGCAGGCAGACATGTTCCCAATGCTAACTGCTGGAATGTTCCTATTGGGCTGGCTCGAAATGATCTGGCACTGGAGACTGATCAGGACGGAGCTTATATGCAGGTGGCGACAGGTGAAACCAGTAGAGCTAATTGCAGAGAGGGTGGAGACTGAACCAGAGAGTAAATTGGAGGCAGAATCAGCTCCAGTGCCAGGATCATCACAAACCCATGCCAAAGTAACATTGAAGTCATCCTTAATCTATCAATATATTGTATTAAACAGGCCAAAACAACTAGTGCTATAGTTTAAAAAAAAACCTAAGAAGAGAAACAAACCGAAAACGGAGCGATGTAACATCCATCCATCCATCCATCCATCCATCCATCCATCCATCCATCCATCCATCCATTTTCTAGCATGCTTATCCCGAGTGGGGTCGCAAGGGGAGCTGTTGCCCATCTCCAGCAGTCAACACCCTGGACAGGTCGCCAGTCCATCGCAGGGGATGTAACACTAAAAAGTAATATTCCCCTTTAAATGTCGACCTATACAAAGAAGTATGATTAAATCTGATTACATTTGGCCTACACTTTCATTTATACTTTTTCTGTAGTATCTTTAATCTTGGACAGTGTCTTGGAATCAAACAAATAACATAGATCTGTTGAATTGCTAAAGGGCCTCAGCGATCTTCTATATAAGAAGTTTTCAATAACCTCTTTCAGGCTGGTTTCTGCATTGCTTTTCTGATCGATGGTTCGGTCTTTATGGACCACAGGCCTCTGGAAAGGGACATGTTTTTCTGTATCCTTATCTCTTTTGTATAAACAAACAGACCAGAAACATGCAGAACAGTAGCTAACTCTCAGATTCATTGCTTTAACTCAACCATCTTAGAATTGGTTTAGGTTTCACAGATTCACTCGTGCTAACAGGTCCTAAATCTAAACCAGTTCATGTGGTGCTGGCTTCATGCGGACTTTATCGTCCTGCAGACGGTCTAATCTTCTTACTCACTGTCTAGGTTATGTTTTGACACTGCAGCTAAACTTTGCACATGTTTTATGTTTATTATGTAACAGTGAGTGTTTGAAACAGTGATGTTGGAAGCTTGTATTTTACAGTCGAACATAGTTTACTCATCGCTAATGCCCAATACTGTTCCCGAAGTCATCAGTCAATAGCAGGCCTTCTTCACTCCAGTTTGGCAGTCACTTTTATTTAGTCTTTACACCTAAACTTTGGTCCAAAGTTTAGGTATTGTTTACTCTGCAGCTAAGAGGCCATTCTAATCACATCTGCTATAAACCGGTTCTGCCAACAAGAACAGAGGATTACAAAAGACTGTGGTTAAATTGTTTATGATGCCTAAGGTCAGATACAAACCATCAGCCTTTCAGAGAAACTCAGAACAAGGAACAGAAAGTAGAAACTCTCATTCAGATTCAAAGATAACATCACTGCTCATAAAGTTTTTTATGATCACAGGACCAATAATGTCTGACTGAAGGACAGAGTCTGGAACAGGTCTACCTGCTTCAGAGGATTAGCCTGATCCTCA